GAGCCCAAGATAAGCCATCGCATCCCCTGTGACCTGCACGTATATGCCCAGATGGCCTGAAGTAATTGAAGAACCACAAAAGAAGTGAAAATGGCCTGTTCCTGCCTTAACTGATGACATTACCTTGTGAAATTCCTTCTCCTGGTTCATCCTGGCTCAAAAAGCTCCCCCACTGAGCACCTTGTGACCCCCACTCCTGGCCGCCAGAGAATAACCCCCTTTGACTGTAATTTTCCTTTACCTACCCAAATCCTATAAAACGGCCTCACTCCTATCTCCCCTTCGCTGACTCTCTTTTTCGGACTCAGCCCACCTGCACTCAGGTGAAATAAACAGCCTTATTGCTCACACAAAGCCTGTTTGGTGGTCTCTTCATACGGCAGAGAGTTAAAAAAAAGTACATTAGATTTTGACTTCAAATTTATTAGTTACTGATGTTTATTTTCCGTGCAAGGCAGAGCGTGGGTGTGAAAGGGAGGACTCGGAGGGTGACAGGGAACAGATGTCCCACCCACTCCACACCCTACGGCCTCACCTCCTTGACAGGCAGGGAAGAGCCAGGCCGAGTGGTTACACATTCCTGGGCTGCCATGAATGGTGTGGGTGAACTGAGACATGAAACCTAACCTCTGGGGCCACTGGATGTCTGTGGACGTGAGAGTCACCTCACAGGAAAGCTGTGGACATTTGACAAGATGTTTTTGCAAGTTGCACCTGACAACTCCCTAACACCAGCTGATGTATGGATGACTTTACTCTAGGAGGGTTTTATTATTTCTTTGCTTTTGATGCTTTTCTACCAGGACCTGCAGAGGGTGGCAGAGTGCTTCGCTGATCTGTCCCTTCTTCCTGCCTCAGGTTCTCAGGGCCAATTTCCCCGTTAGGTGGAGCAGGCACTGTGCCTAGAGCCCATGAGACTTTTAGGGACCCATGAAAGTGTTTTAATTACTTTCAAAATCAGAAGAAAAAATATAATATTAATGAATACCTAATAATGAATCTAGACTATATCATGTCAATTTTTATACCAACACAGTTGTTTCAAATACAATTTTTAATTTTTTTTTTTTTTTTTAATGAAGAGGGAGCCACGGAGGCAGCAAAAGTGCTGTCAGCCCAAGAATGTGATAATGCCACCCTGTAGGTTCTGGAACTCACCTCAGAGAGTGAGTTGGCAGCCTGGGCTGCTGCTTGCTTCTGTTTGCTCGGGTAATGGAACAGGTAGAGCCTGAAAGGAGATCTGTGTAGCGAGTATAGTAAGCCATACTGACTTCAGTGTGGGAGTGAAGAGGACCATGTCAGAGCATTTTTCGGAGAGCTGAAGGTTGCATCTTAAATCTAAAGTGGTTGCTTGTTGACACTAGCTATTTTTTATGAAAATGTCCTTATCATGCATTGCATACCCTGGCCTTCTTTGTTCATTTTTAACTTTTATCAAGAAAAGGTATGGATATATGTGTATACAAACATATATACATATATATAAGCACAAATACACACGTGTGTGTGTGTGTATACATTTGTGTGTGTGTTAGAAGCATTCGAACCAGAGTAACTCCATCTTGAATAGGAGTGGGTAAAATAAGACTGAGACCTACTGGGCTGAATTCCCAGGAGGTTAGGCATTCTAAGTCACAGATGAGACAGGAGGTCATAAAGACTTTGCTGACAAAACTGGTTGCAGTAAGCCACAAAAAAGGATGAGCTCCTGTCCTTTGTAGGGACATGGATGCAGCTGCAAACCATCATTCTCAGCAAACTATTGCAAGAACAGAAAACCAAACATCGCTTGTTCTCACTCATAGGTGGGAATTGAACAGTGAGATCATACTTGGACACAGGAAGGGGAACATCACACACCAGGGCCTATTGTGGGGTGGGGGGAGGGGGGAGGGATAGCATTAGGAGATATACCTAATGTAAATGACGAGTTAATGGGTGCAGCACAGCAACATGGCACATGTATACATATGTAACAAAACTGCACGTTGTGCACATGTACCCTAGAACTTAAAGTGTACAAAAAACAAACAAAAAAACTGGTTGCAGTAAAGAATCCGGCCAAAACCCACCAAAACCAAGATGGTGATGAAAGTGACCCCTGGTCATCCTCACTGCTACACTCCCACCAGCGCCATGACAGTTTACAAATGCCATGGCAACATCAGGAAGTTATCCTATATAGTCTAAAAAGGGGAGGCATGAATAATCCACCCCTTGTTTAGCATGTAATCAAGAAATAACCATAAAAATGGGCAACCAGCAGCCATCAGGGCTGCTCTGCCTCTGGAGTAACCTTTCCTTATTTCTTTACTTTCTTAATACACTTGCTTTCACGTTACTCTATGGACTTGCCCTGAATTCTTTCTTGCTCAAGATTCAAGAACCCTCTATTGGGGTCTGGATCTGGATGCCTTTCCAGCATATATATATATATATATATATATATATATATATATTTGCCATATATGTGTCAAATAGTAGCAAAAGATGGGATTTAGGACATGTCACCCCCAAATATGACTTTAGGAGACCAGAAACATGTCACCCCCAAATATGACTTTAGGAGACCAGAAACATGCCACCCCCAAATATCCCTCTTTAGCGTGAGGATTACTTTGAGAAACTGCAGCAGAGGAGAATCTCGGAAAACAAAAGTAGAAGTTACCCTTTTGTAAGGAAAGTTTATGTCTATAAAGGAGATCTCCATACGTAAGGGTGTCTTTCTGTCTGCAAGAGGAAGAGAAGAATGACTCTAAATCACTGGAAACTCTTATCAATGAAAAAGGTATGGATTTAAATCTACATCACAAACCTCACCCTGGTTTCAGGTGCTTTCCTGGCTGTCCCCCCATAACTGGCCTTCCCTTCCCTCTCAGTTTTAGCAAAGGATGGTTTTTAAGCTTGAAGTCAAAGCCACCTATTTGAGATCTGCTCTCAAGAATTACTCATTCCCTGAGTATCTCCCATGTATACATGAAATATACATATTAATAAACTTGGGTTTTTTTCTTTTGTTAATTTCTCTTTCGGTACAGGGATCTGTCCTAACAAAAAACTTAGGAAAGGTAGAGAAAAAATTATTTTCTCCTCCCCTACACAAATAAGGGTGGTTTCTTGCTTCACATTTCTGTCTTTCTGCCTCCTTATTTCTGCTCCTTAAAGGCAACCACTTTTAACCTTCTAAACCCTTTCTATTTTTTTTCTGGTATTTAACTCCATATTTCTAAGGAATATACACATACTGCTATTTCCCAACTTGTCAGTTCCAGACAGTAGCTATTGTTGTTCTATTACGGCAGATGAAGATTTAGCTGTCTTAACATTCTCCACCTTATTTCTCCTCCCTCCGCCAGCTACTAATAGAGTTATATCACAATTTTTTATTAAATTTGTATTTGTAACCACCCCATGAGTTCTTGCCCACTACCCAGTTAGAGCCAATTTATTATGACAGGGAAATTGCAATAGGGAAACTGTGTACAGTGTTAATAAACTCTAAGGCATTTTGCACATGTTAATCGGAATTTGCAGTGAATGGGTAGACCTGAGAGCTAGTGGCTCAGGAGGACCCCATATTTGGAGATGGAGTGCAAGGATAAACGATGCAGACAGCAAACAGGGAAATAATAGGTAGAAGAGGGTGGTTACCCCGCAAAAGCCCCACCCTCAATCCTGGAAACCCACAGTCCTAAATGGGAACAGGTATTCCTGTTTTTGCACCCAAAAGTTGCCTTTTGGCTCACCACACCCACCTATCCTGTACCCTTATAAACCCTAAACCCCAGGCTCCACAAGCAGACAAACAGAAGGGCAGAGAAGGAGAGAAGAGAAGGAGCTTCTTAATGTTGAGAGGAGCTCGGCTGGGGACAGTAAGAGAGGAGATGGGCCACTGCATGGTCAAACTCCAGGTGAAGATCATCTTCCCATTCCATCCCCTTTCCAGCCCCATCCATCCCACTGAGAGCCACCTCCACCACTCAATAAAACTCCCACGTTTACCATCCTTTAAGTCCGTGTGTGACCTGATTTTTCCTGGACGCTGGACAAGAGCTTGGATACGGAAAACTGTCATGCTGGCCCTCTGCCCTTGCAAAAAGGCAGAGGGTCCACTGAGATGTTTTTGTTTTTGTTTTTGTTTTTGTTTTTGAGACGGAGTCTCACTGTGTCTCCCAGGCTGGAGTGCAGTGGCGTGATCTCAGCTCACTGCAAGCTCCGCCTCCCGGGTTCACGCCATTCTCCCGCCTCAGCCTCCCAAGTAGCTGAGACTACAGGCGCCCGCCACCACGCCCGGCTAGTTTTTTGTATTTTTAGTAGAGACGGGGTTTCACCATGTTAGCCAGGATAGTCTCGATCTCCTGACCTCGTGATCCACCCGCCTCGGCCTCCCAAAGTGCTGGGATTACAGGCTTGAGCCACCGCGCCCGGCCCACTGAGATGTTTAACACTTAAGCCATCTATGGACAACAAGGCTGAAAAAGCGCACTGTAACACATGCCCACTTGGGCTTCGAGAGTCACAGGCACCCATCCCTAGATGCAATCGTGGGGCTGGAGCCCAAAAGCACTTGGCGCAGCTCCTACACCTGCCTGTCTGCATGCTCCCCCTCCCATAAGGGGTTTGAGAGCAAGATGGCCAAATGGATGAGCCACGCCCATTACATGTCCTGCAAGAGAGGTCAGGGAACTCCCCCGTTTCGTTTGTACTTTCAGTTGCATGCTCTTCCCACAACTCCCTCTGAATGTTTGTGTTGGGAATCAGAACATGAGAACCTCAAGTATAGCACTTTGGTATGCTGAATACTTTGCCCTGAGGGAGATTGGAAGGACCTCAGCAGCAAGATGTTCTTTCCGACCTTCTCCCACTCTCCTTTCTCTTTCTTTCATTTCTTTCCCATGGCAGGTCATAGAAACTAGAACCCCTCTTTCCCAAAGCAAACTGTAAACCTAAAAATGTCACTGCCTGACCCTTCTTCTCCCCTTAAAACCCTCATTTGACAGGTGATCCTGCCTTATCCTGGAGAAAGAAATGCTACACAAGAGGCCAAGAAGAAGCTAAACAAACAAGCCTTGCTGGGTTCCCATTTCAGCTTATTACCATTAGGACATGCCCTTTCTGTCGAATCACATTTCTACATGGCTGTACATTCTTCATCAAACCTAAGCATTAAAAAAAAGCTTTCTCTGGGTCTTTGGGTCTTCATTTCTGAAAGCTCCCGTATTACATAAAACTTAGTTAAATAAATTTGTTATACTTTTCTCTTGTGAATCTGTCCTTCTTTATATGGGTGTTAGCTGGGGACGTTGCAATGAGTGTGAGGACAGGCATTACCCTTCCACCCCTACGCTTGCTACAGACTATGGTTAGGCTACCAGGACACTCAGTTGCCCTTTGTGGAGGAAGAAAGGATGAATCAACATGTGCAGAATAGGACTCCCTCCAGGAAGTACAGATGTGCAGCTGGGAACTCTTCAGCTCACCTCTTTCAAGCAGGGTGACCAGGATGCCAAGGTGTAGTCACGAGGAGAAGTGATCAGAAGGTAAGTACAGCTGAGAAAGTTACAACTGGCTGGCACTTTGTCTCAAGAAAGAATGTGCCAACCAGACGGCAGATCTCCAGAGTGAAAGGGAGGTCAAAGAGCAAAATGTCAGTGTTTTCAATACCACCCAATGAAGAAGATGCCAGTCAGGAGTGGGGGGCATGGCCTTAACATCTGCTTGGCAGCTGCATTCTCTTAAGAGAGGTGGTTGTATCACTTCACATAAGCTTTTCAACAGCAACAGGGCAATAAAACAAAATGTATTTGTCCTAACTTTGCGCTGATTAAAGGACTCTTCAAGCATTCATTCATCCAGCAAACACTATTGAGAACCTACTAACTATGTGGCAGGCATTCTTTTTTTTTTTTTTTTTTTTTTAATCTCGCTCTGTCGCCCAGGCTGGAGTGCAGTGGCACCATCTCGGCTCACTGCAAGCTCCGTCTCCCGGGTTCACACCATTCTCCTGCCTCAGCCTGTGACAGGCCCTCTTTTAGGAGCTTGGGATATAGCAGTGAACAAGACAGTCAATGTCTGCCCTCATGGAGCCTATCTTCTACGAAAAAATAACTTTTCATGTGATTATTCACTGTGCTAGGGGTTGGAGTGACATAATAAGGGCCCTCTACGGACTCACATTGAAGGAGGTGGCTTCCAAAGTTGTTTTTTCCTTAGGGAGAGAATGGTTGAATTAGCCAGTTCAGATACTCAGTCCCTTTGGCATATTGTGAATGAATTAATTGCATTCTGGTCTTTTGTGGGTTTAGTTAGCTTGAAGCAGTTTTCAACACTCAACTATGAATGCACTGTAAATACTGGGTTTCTAGACCCAAACAACTAGACTAGAACCTGGAAAGTGCTGACATCAAGAAGTTAATTTTTCTGAGACACACTACACCTACATATCCTTCTATAACTTCTCTATTGCGTCCTTTTCTCTTTCTAACCTCAACAGAGATGTCATCAACAATCACACTACCTCTTGCAAAGCATTTGTAGGAATAGACAAGAGTGAGCCATTGGCAAATTCATTCCTCAACTGTTTCTTGAGACCTGTCAAGGTGCCAGACACCATGTTCATGAGAACGCAGCAGCTGTCTCCCCATAGGAGCTCACAGTCTGCAGAAGGGGGATGGGGGTGCTAGAAAACTCTGTTGTGGGATGGAGTTGAATTTCAGTCCTGGCTGTGCTACTTAAAGACATCATCTGTAATCAAGAAACGAGCCCAGCTGAACTCCTGGCTTCCTGGTTTAATATTTCTGTGTCAGGAAGTTATGTGGTGGGCCTCTTGGAAGAGTGACTAAGAGGGAAAACAATACATAGTTTGGCAGAGAAGGGGAGAGGAGGAAGGATGATGTGTGGTTTTGCTCTTTCTGTATTTTTTCACCAGCAGAAACCTTAATCTTTTCCAGCAGCACAGGCGAGTCATGGCGCAGGGGATTTGCCACAGAGCACTGCCCCCTTTGCCAGCAACACTGAGCTCACGGAATGGCAGATAAACCTAGAGAAGCTGAGCCAGTCTTTCAAGCCCGGGCAGCACGTTTCCAAGGAGCATCATGAGCTCAGCTGGAGGTCCCTGGGCAGAAATCACCTGGAATTTGTATGAGTGCTGAGCTCTGTGGTGTCTTTCTGGCCCTTTCTTGAGGCTGGAATTGCTTTTTTTTTTTTTTTTTTGAGACAGGGGGTTGCTCTGCCACCTAGGCTGGAGTGCAGTGGTACAATCATAGCTCACCGTAATCTGGAACTCCCGGGCTCAAGCAGTCCTCCCACCTCAACCTTCAGAGTATCTGGATATGTTGCCATGGCTGGTCTCAAACGCCTGTCCTCAAGTGATTCTCCCACCTCAGCCTCCTAAAGTGTTGGGATTAGAGGCATGAGGCACTGTGTCCGGCCTGCAATTGCGTTCTTAGCATATAGATGGAGAAGGAGAACAGCCTCTCTTCAAAAACAGCATTTTCTTTTCTCTCATTTACTGCTCCCCTTAAATTCCATTTTCTTAAAGGACATGTAGAGCGGGGAGGATCCTTTTGCTTGAAGAGTAACCTCCCAGCAATCAGCCCCCTTCCTGTACTCTGGCCTCCTCCAAGCATTATAGCAAAATAAATGTTTTATTTGGTTTATTCATTTATTCATTCAATAATTATTTATTAAGACCGTATTAAGGGCCAAGTTCCAGATATTGGGATTCTGTGGTGAACAAAAGATAACAAGCCCTGTCGTCATGGAGCTTACTTTTTTGTGGGAGAAAGACCATAAACAAATAAACATATAATATCTGGTTGCAATATGTGCTATAAAATGATATAAAGTGGGCAGGAGGATGGGGGAGCGACAGTGTAGGAGGCCACTAGATTAGGTGATCGGGGAAGGCCTTCTGCCTCCTCCGGTGATGTAGGGGCTGGGTCTTTTTGGATAAATTTTTCCAGTTTTCCAACCTTAACTCTTTAAATGCCAAAAAAGTTTATTCTTACTAATTTTGCCCCAAATTACTTTAAATTCATTGTACATAGGAACCCAGAATAATCGAATCTTGTTTTAAAGATTCAGGATCATTATTGGGAACACCAATATATGCCAGGGGTTCTCAAAGTGTGGCCCCTGGACCAGCAGTATCAGCAACCCCTCAACCTGGGGACTTGTTAGAAATGCAAATTCTCAGAAATGTAAGTGCAGATTTCACCCCAGACCTGCTGCAGCTGAAACTCTGGGGGTGGAGCCCTGCAATCTGCGCTTTAACAAGCCCTCCAGGTGCTTCTCGTGCGTGCTCAAGTTTGAGAAGGGCCACTCTGCTCTGAGGTGTGCCCTTGAGGGCAGTGGAGGTAGGTAGCATCTCTGCCCATCCTCGGCAGGCTGCTTTGCTCCCTGAGCTCCTGCCTACTTCCTGTGGGTTCTGCCTCACAGTGGGTTGTCAGTGTTTATCTCTCACTGCTGACATTAGTATGTCTCTGTCTAATTTGTGTCTCCTAATTTGCTGCTTCTAATCGCCTCTGAGAAACCAGATCCCCAGCCATAAACTCATTATGTAGAAAGTAGGAATAAATTCCAGGGCTGCTGGCACGCATGTTAGTACTTCGGTCTTTTGCCCTCAAGACATTCAGCGTGGTGGAAAGAACAGACTTGAATTTCAGTCTAGAATTCCACCAATGTGGGGATTCTGCAGGCTGCTGAGTAAGTCTATTCCAATTATGCATTCTAGAAATGGGGAAATAACCACAGGATGGATTCCGGGACCCACTGGGTCTACTATGAGGTGGATGTAGTTAAACTCCATTGATCACCTATATTAGTCAGGGATTTGCAGAGAAAAAGACTGAGAGAGAGAGAGACAGAGTGAGAGAGAGACAGAGACAGAGAGAGAGACAGAGACAGAGAGAGAGACAGAGAGAGAGAGAGAGAGAGAGAGAGACAGGAACGAGGAATTTATTATGAGGAATTGGCTCACACAATAATGGAGGCTGAGAAGTCCCACAATCTGTCCTCTATAAGCTGGAGACCCAGGAAAGCTGGTGTTATTATTCAGTCCACGTTTGAAGGCCTGAGAATCAGAGGTACCGATGGTGTAAATCCCAGTTCAAGGGCAGAAGATGAGATGAGATGTTCCAATGAGGCAGAAAAAAAGGGGCAAATTCCTCCTTCCTCCACATTTTGCTTTATTCAGTCCCTCAACAGATTGGATAATGCCCACCTGCATTGGAGAGGGCCGTCTATATTGAGTTAACCGATTCCAATGCTAGTCTCATCCAGGAACAATCTCATAGACACATGCAGAAATAATGTTTATCTGGGCACCCTGCAGCCCAGTGAAGCTAGCACATAAAATTAACCATCCCCTCACCGAACAGCCATAATTTCCTACTGTGACTGGCAGACCACAGTAATATTTTGGGTCTCCTGAAATTAGTATCAGTTCAAAGCCAGTGTCCAGTCATCCTAAACATCTGATTGTTTCCTTTTCCCCAGTGCCCAGTTCCTCTGATAAAAGGCTGCAGGTCCCTTTGGGGACAACTGGGAGAAAGATAAACAGTATACATTTTTGGCAATGTAGCAGAGTCCTTCCTCAAGGGGACCTGGTCTCCCCTTTTATTGCTTGTATGACCTTGGCAGAGTTGGAACCAGAATTGCCTGGCACCAACAAGGTGCTCAACAAGTGCTAGTTCTTTCCTTCTGGGGTGGGAGAATGATGGGGGAAGGGGATAATTAACCTATATGATTTTTTGCACGAATAATTGCTGTTTAGAAAAATCTCTAAATATTTACCTTTATTTATTAAAAAATGGTTTTAAATATATTTGAGATATAATCACATATCACACAATTCGTTCATTTAAAGACTACAATTTAATGACCATCACTGCAATCAATTTTAGAACATTTTTATTATCCTAAAAAGTAACTTCACATCCCTTAGGCATGATCCCCCCTCTGTAATCCTCCTATTCTCCCCTTGTCCTAGGTAACCACTAATCTATGTTTGTACTTTACAGATTTGACTATTCTGGACATTTCATATAAATGGAATTATCCAATATGTGATCCTTTGTGATAGCCTTTTTCCACTTAGCATAATGTCTTCAAGGTTCATTCATGTTATACAGCATCAGTATTTCATTTCTTTCTTAAAAATTTTTATTTTTAATTTTTGTGGGTAT